TAATAATATAATCATAATATATTATTATTATCAAAATATATTATTAATATATTATTTATACCCATCTGGCCACAAAACACAATAATAATAATAATAATAATAATAATAATAATAATAATAATAATATATTTATACCCATCTGGCCACAAAACACAATAATAATAATAATAATAATAATAATAATAATAATATATTTATACCCATCTGGCCACAAAACACTAAAATATAACAGAATTAGGGCTAGAGGCTGATCCCCAAAAAATCTGATCTATCGTAATATACCATTAATTATCATTAATTTATTTTCATTAATATTATTAATATTATTATTATTAGCCAGCCCTTGCTTTTGTCCCCCTCCCCTCCCATCCACCCCTTCAAGTGTCAGGGAGTTCCAGAGATCAAGATATATTATTATTAATACTGTTGTTATTATTAATACTACTATTATTATTATTACTATTAATTATTATTAATTATCATGAATATCATTATTAGCCGGCCCTTTCGCACCCCTCCCATCCACCAAGTCTCAGGCAGTTCCCCAGCCTCTGCTAGGTCTAGCTTCTTCTGATATTATTCTTATTATTTATTAATCATTATTAACCATTAATCATCATCCTTCTTATCATTATTAGCTGGCTGATTATTACCATTATTATCATTATTTTCTATTCTTATTTCCGCTGCATTTCATTTTCTTTTATTGCTAGAGGCTGATGCAAATAAAATCCGATCTATTCTCATATATCATTAATCCTTATTAATCCTTATTAATTCTTATTAATCCTTCTTATTATCATTATTAGCCGGCTGATTATTATCATTAATATCATTATTTTTTTTATTATTAGAGGCTGATGCAAATGAAATCCGATCTATTCTCATATATCATTAATATTAATCCTTATTAATCCTTATATTAATAATATATTAATTATATTAATCCTAATAATAATAATAATAATAATAATATATTTATATATTTATAAAAATATATTTATAAAATCTGATCTATTCTCATATATCATTAATTCTTACTAATCATTAATCCTGATTATTATCATTATTAGCCGGCTGATTATTATCATTATTATCATTATTTTTATTATTATTAGAGGCTGATGCAAATAAAATCCGATCTATTATCATATTAATATTAATCCTTATTAATCCTTATATTAATAATATATTAATTATATTAATCCTAATAATAATAATATATTTATATGTTTATAAAAATATATTTATAAAATCTGATCTATTCTCATATATCATTAATTCTTACTAATCATTAATCCTGATTATTATCATTATTAGCCGGCTGATTATTATCATTATTATCATTATTTTTATTATTATTAGAGGCTGATGCAAATAAAATCCGATCTATTATCATATATCATTAATCCTTATTAATCCTTATATTAATAATATATTAATTATATTAATCCTAATAATAATAATTATATATTTATATATTTATAAAAATATATTTATAAAATCTGATCTATTATCATATATCATTAATTCTTACTAATCATTAATCCTTATTATTATCATTATTAGCCGGCTTATTATTATCATTAATATCATTATTTTTATTATTATTAGAGGCTGATGCAAATAAAATCCGATCTATTCTCATATATCATTAATATTAATCCTTATTAATCCTTATATTAATAATATATTAATTATATTAATCCTAATAATAATAATAATAATAATATATTTATATATTTATAAAAATATATTTATAAAATCTGATCTATTCTCATATATCATTAATTCTTACTAATCATTAATCCTTATTATTATCATTATTAGCCGGCTGATTATTATCATTATTATCATTATTCTTATTATTATTAGAGGCTGATGCAAATAAAATCCGATCTATTATCCTATATCATTAATATTAATCCTTATTAATCCTTATATTAATAATATATTAATTATATTAATCCTAATAATAATAATAATAATATATTTATATATTTATAAAAATATATTTATAAAATCTGATCTATTCTCATATATCATTAATTCTTACTAATCATTAATCCTGATTATTATCATTATTAGCCGGCTGATTATTATCATATTTATCATTATTTTTATTATTATTAGAGGCTGATGCAAATAAAATCCGATCTATTATCCTATATCATTAATATTAATCCTTATTAATCCTTATATTAATAATATATTAATTATATTAATCCTAATGATAATAATATATTTATATGTTTATAAAAATATATTTATAAAATCTGATCTATTATCCTATATCATTAATATTAATCCTTATTAATCCTTATATTAATAATATATTATATTAATCCTAATAATAATAATAATATATTTATATATTTATAAAAATATATTTATAAAATCTGATCTATTCTCATATATCATTCATTCTTACTAATCATTAATCCTTATTCATGGTTATTAATCATAATTATTATTAATTATTATCACCCTCTCCACTTCCACAGCTTCCATTCGTCCGAAACTCGAACCCAGAACCAGGGCGGAAAAAGCGAAAAGAAGAAATTTCTCCATTTTCCCCCAGAAAGAGAGAAAAAGAGACGTCCGATTCGGGTGGAAAAATGCCGATTTTGGAGGCCGGGAAGAGAGGACTTTGGCCCTGGCTCGGCCCTCCGTTAATGAGCAACCTTCGTTATCGGCCGGGGTCATTAATTAACCGATAATCGATAGCAGGGGGAATGAGGGAAAGGGAAAAAAATTGGGTTTCTGGCTGGTTTTTGGGGACTATAATTCCCATTATTACTTTTCCATGACGATGATGATTATCATTTGACATAAGCCGTTAGTAATATTAGTATTATTAGTAATATTATTAGTATTATTAGTAATATTAGTATTATTACTTTTATTATTAGTATTATTATTAGTATTATTAGTAGTAATATCATTGATGGGAGTACTTTTCCATGATTAATATTATTATTATTTCCCATAACCCATTATTATTATTAGTAGTAGTAGTAGTAGTAATACTATTAATATCAGTATTATCTCCCATAACCCATTAGTATTATTATTAGTAGTAGTAGTAGTATTAATATTATTGATGGGAGTACTTTTCCATGATTAATATTATTATTATTTCCCATAACCCATTATTATTATTAGTAGTAGTAGTAGTAGTAGTACTATTAATATCAGTATTATCTCCCATAACCTATTGTTATTATTATTAGTAGTAGTAGTATTATTAATATTATTGATGGGAGTACTTTTCCATGATTAATATTATTATTATTTCCCATAACCCATTATTATTATTATTAGTAGTAGTAGTAGTAGTAGTACTATTAATATCAGTATTATCTCCCATAACCTATTGTTATTATTATTAGTAGTAGTATTATTAATATTATTGATGGGAGTACTTTTCCATGATTAATATTATTATTATTTCCCATAACCCATTATTATTATTATTATTATTAGTAGTAGTAGTAGTACTATTAATATCAGTATTATCTCCCATAACCCATTAGTATTATTATTAGTAGTAGTAGTAGTATTAATATTAATATTATTGATGGGAGTACTTTTCCATGATTAATATTATTATTATTTCCCATAACCCATTATTATTATTATTAGTAGTAGTAGTAGTAGTATTAGTAGTATTCCCATCATCCCTGACCACTGGGCCTGCTAGCAAGGCATGATGGGAGTTTGGGGACTACAATTCCCATCATCCCTGGGACTGTAGTCCCAGTGATGATGGGATTTGTAGTCCCCAAACTCCCATCATGCCTTGCTAGCAGGCCCAGTGGTCAGGGATGATGGGAATTGTAGTCCCAGGGATGATGGGAATTGTAGTCCCCAAACTCCCATCATGCCTTGCTAGCAGGCCCAGTGGTCAGGGATGATGGGAATTGTAGTCCCAGGGATGATGGGAATTGTAGTCCCCAAACTCCCATCATGCCTTGCTGGCAGGCCCAGTGGTCAGGGATGATGGGAATTGTAGTCCTAGGGATGATGGGAATTGCAGTCCCAGGGATGATGGGAATCGTAGTCCCAGTGATGATGGGAATTGTAGTCCCAGTGATGATGGGAATTGTAGTCCCAGTGACGATGGGAATTGTAGTCCCCAAACTCCCATCACGCCTTGCTAGCAGGCCCAGTGGTCAGGGATGATGGGAATTGTAGTCCCAGGGATGATGGGAATTGTAGTCCCCAAACTCCCATCATGCCTTGCTAGCAGGCCCAGTGGTCAGGGATGATGGGAATTGTAGTCCCAGTGACGATGGGAATTCTAGTCCCAGGGATGATGGGAATTGTAGTCCCCAAACTCCCATCATGCCTTGCTAGCAGGCCCAGTGGTCAGGGATGATGGGAATTGTAGTCCCAGAGATGCTGGGAATCGTAGTCCCCAAACTCCCATCATGCCTTGCTAGCAGGCCCAGTGGTCAGGGATGATGGGAATTGTAGTCCCAGGGATGATGGGAATTGTAGTCCCAGTGACGATGGGAATCGTAGTCCCAGTGATGATGGGAATTGTAGTCCCAGGGATGATGGGAATTGTAGTCCCAGTGATGATGGGAATTGTAGTCCCAGTGATGATGGGAATTGTCCCAGTGACGATGGGAATTGTAGTCCCAGTGATGATGGGAATCGTAGTCCCAGTGACGATGGGAATTGTAGTCCCCAAACTCCCATCACGCCTTGCTAGCAGGCCCAGTGGTCAGGGATGATGGGAATTGTAGTCCCAGTGATGATGGGAATCGTAGTCCCAGGGATGCTGGGAATCGTAGTCCCAGGGATGATGGGAATTGTAGTCCCCAAACTCCCATCATGCCTTGCTAGCAGGCCCAGCGGTCAGGGATGATGGGAATTGTAGTCCCAGGGATGATGGGAATTGTAGTCCCAGGGATGATGGGAATTGTAGTCCCAGGGATGATGGGAATTGTAGTCCCAGTGATGATGGGATTTGTAGTCCCAGGGATGATGGGAATTGTAGTCCCCAAACTCCCATCATGCTTAGCTAGCAGGCCCAGTGATCAGGGATGATGGGAATTGTAGTCCCAGGGATGATGGGAATTGTAGTCCCGGTGATGATGGGAATTGTAGTCCCAGGGATGATGGGAATCGTAGTCCCCAAACTCCCATCATGCCTTGCTAGCAGGCCCAGTGATCAGGGATGATGGGAATTGTAGTCCCAGGGATGATGGGAATTGTAGTCCCGGTGATGATGGGAATTGTAGTCCCCAAACTCCCATCATGCCTTGCTAGCAGGCCCAGTGATCAGGGATGATGGGAATTGTAGTCCCAGGGATGATGGGAATTGTCCCAGTGACGATGGGAATTGTAGTCCCAGGGATGATGGGAATTGTAGTCCCAGGGATGATGGGAATTGTAGTCCCAGTGATGATGGGAATTGTAGTCCCAGGGATGATGGGAATTGTAGTCCCAGTGATGATGGGAATTGTAGTCCCAGGGATGATGGGAATTGTAGTCCCAGTGATGATGGGAATTGTCCCAGTGACGATGGGAATTGTAGTCCCAGGGATGATGGGAATTGTAGTCCCAGGGATGATGGGAATTGTAGTCCCAGTGATGATGGGAATTGTAGTCCCAGTGATGATGGGAATTGTAGTCCCAGGGATGATGGGAATTGTAGTCCCAGTGACGATGGGAATTGTAGTCCCAGTGATGATGGGAATTGTAGTCCCAGTGATGATGGGAATTGTAGTCCCCAAACTCCCATCATGCCTTGCTAGCAGGCCCAGTGGTCAGGGATGATGGGAATTGTAGTCCCAGTGATGATGGGAATTGTAGTCCCAGGGATGATGGGAATTGTAGTCCCAGTGATGATGGGAATTGTAGTCCCAGTGATGATGGGAATTGTAGTCCCCAAACTCCCATCATGCCTTGCTAGCAGGCCCAGTGGTCAGGGATGATGGGAATTGTAGTCCCAGTGATGATGGGAATTGTAGTCCCAGGGATGATGGGAATTGTAGTCCCAGTGACGATGGGAATTGTAGTCCCAGTGATGATGGGAATTGTCCCAGTGACGATGGGAATTGTAGTCCCAGGGATGATGGGAATTGTAGTCCCAGGGATGATGGGAATTGTAGTCCCAGGGATGATGGGAATTGTAGTCCCAGTGATGACGGGAATTGTAGTCCCAGGGATGATGGGAATTGTAGTCCCAGGGATGATGGGAATTGTAGTCCCAGTGACGATGGGAATTCTAGTCCCAGGGATGATGGGAATTGTAGTCCCCAAACTCCCATCATGCCTTGCTGGCAGGCCCAGTGGTCAGGGATGATGGGAATTGTAGTCCCAGGGATGATGGGAATTGTAGTCCCGTGATGATGGGAATTGTAGTCCCAGGGATGATGGGAATTGTAGTCCCAGAGAAGATGGGAATTGCAGTCCCAGGGATGCTGGGATTTGTAGTCCCAGTGATGATGGGAATTGTAGTCCCAGGGATGATGGGAATTGCAGTCCCAGGGATGATGGGAATTGTAGTCCCAGGGATGATGGGAATTGTAGTCCCAGTGACGATGGGAATTGTAGTCCCAGTGATGATGGGAATTGTAGTCCAAGTGATGATGGGAATTGTAGTCCCAGTGATGATGGGAATTGTAGTCCCCAAACTCCCATCATGCCTTGCTAGCAGGCCCAGTGGTCAGGGATGATGGGAATTGTAGTCCCAGTGATGATGGGAATTGTAGTCGCAGTGATGATGGGAATTGTAGTCCCCAAACTCCCATCATGCTTAGCTAGCAGGCCCAGTGATCAGGGATGATGGGAATCGTAGTCCCAGTGATGATGGGAATTGTAGTCCCAGTGATGATGGGATTTGTAGTCCCAGGGATGATGGGAATTGTAGTCCCCAAACTCCCATCATGCTTAGCTAGCAGGCCCAGTGGTCAGGGATGATGGGAATTGTAGTCCCAGGGATGATGGGAATTGTAGTCCCAGTGATGATGGGAATTGCAGTCCCAGGAATGATGGGAATTTTAGTCCCAGGAATGATGGGAATCGTAGTCCCAGTGATGATGGGAATTGTAGTCCCAGTGACGATGGGAATCGTAGTCCCAGTGATGATGGGAATTGCAGTCCCAGTGATGATGGGAATTGTAGTCCCAGTGATGATGGGAATTGCAGTCCCTCTGATGATGGGAATTGTAGTCCCAGTGATGATGGGAATTGCAGTCCCAGTGATGATGGGAATTGTAGTCCCAGTGATGATGGGAATTGTAGTCCCAGTGATGATGGGAATTGTAGTTTCAGTGATGATGGGAATTGTAGTCCCAGAGATGCTGGGAATCGTAGTCCCCAAACTCCCATCATGCCTTGCTAGCAGGCCCAGTGGTCAGGGATGATGGGAATTGTAGTCCCAGTGATGATGGGAATTGTAGTCCCAGTGACGATGGGAATCGTAGTCCCAGTGATGATGGGAATTGTAGTCCCCAAACTCCCATCATGCCTTGCTAGCAGCCTTAGTGGTCAGGGATGATGGGAATTGTAGTCCCAGGGATGATGGGAATTGTAGTCCCAGTGATGATGGGAATTGTAGTCCCAGGGATGATGGGAATTGTAGTCCCAGTGATGATGGGAATCGTAGTCCCCAAACTCCCATCATGCCTTGCTAGCAGGCCCAGTGGTCAGGGATGATGGGAATTGTAGTCCCAGTGATGATGGGAATTGTAGTCCCAGGGATGATGGGAATTGTAGTCCCAGTGATGATGGGAATCGTAGTCCCCAAACTCCCATCATGCCTTGCTAGCAGGCCCAGTGGTCAGGGATGATGGGAATTGTAGTCCCAGTGATGATGGGAATTGTAGTCCCAGTGATGATGGGAATTGTAGTCCCAGTGACGATGGGAATTGTAGTCCCCAAACTCCCATCACGCCTTGCTAGCAGCCTTAGTGGTCAGGGATGATGGGAATTGTAGTCCCAGGGATGATGGGAATTGTAGTCCCCAAACTCCCATCATGCCTTGCTAGCAGCCTTAGTGGTCAGGGATGATGGGAATTGTAGTCCTAGGGATGATGGGAATTGTAGTCCCAGGGATGATGGGAATTGTAGTCCCAGTGATGATGGGAATTGTAGTCCCAGTGATGATGGGAATTGTAGTCCCCAAACTCCCATCACGCCTTGCTAGCAGGCCCAGTGGTCAGGGATGATGGGAATTGTAGTCCCAGGGATGATGGGAATTGTAGTCCCAGTGATGATGGGATTTGTAGTCCCAGGGATGATGGGAATTGTAGTCCCCAAACTCCCATCATGCTTAGCTAGCAGGCCCAGTGATCAGGGATGATGGGAATTGTAGTCCTAGGGATGATGGGAATCGTAGTCCCAGTGATGATGGGAATCGTAGTCCCAGTGATGATGGGAATCGTAGTCCCAGTGATGATGGGAATTGTAGTCCCAGTGATGATGGGAATTGTAGTCCCCAAACTCCCATCACGCCTTGCTAGCAGGCCCAGTGGTCAGGGATGATGGGAATTGTAGTCCCAGGGATGATGGGAATTGTAGTTTCAGTGATGATGGGAATTGTAGTCCCAGGGATGATGGGAATTGTAGTCCCAGTGATGATGGGAATTGTAGTCCCAGGGATGATGGGAATTGTAGTCCCAGGGATGATGGGAATTGTAGTCCCAGGGATGATGGGAATTGTAGTCCCAGTGATGATGGGAATTGTAGTCCCAGTGATGATGGGAATTGTCCCAGTGACGATGGGAATTGTAGTCCCAGTGATGATGGGAATTGTAGTCCCAGTGATGATGGGAATCGTAGTCCCAGTGATGATGGGAATTGTAGTCCCCAAACTCCCATCATGCCTTGCTAGCAGGCCCAGTGGTCAGGGATGATGGGAATTGTAGTCCTAGGGATGATGGGAATTGTAGTCCCAGGGATGATGGGAATTGTAGTCCCAGTGATGATGGGAATTGTAGTCCCAGTGATGATGGGAATTGTAGTCCCAGTGACGATGGGAATTGTAGTCCCCAAACTCCCATCACGCCTTGCTAGCAGGCCCAGTGGTCAGGGATGATGGGAATTGTAGTCCAAGTGATGATGGGAATCGTAGTCCCAGGGATGATGGGAATCGTAGTCCCAGTGATGATGGGAATTGTAGTCCCAGTGATAATGGGAATTGTAGTCCCAGGGATGATGGGAATCGTAGTCCCAGGGATGATGGGATTTGTAGTCCCCAAACTCCCAGTTCTTTTCCTATTAAAATCGGAATAAATTCAATTTATTTTCCCGCTTTTTACAGGAAAAGTCGGTCCGTTTTTAAGGCCGTTTTCTGCTCAGTTTGGTATTAAATGACCTTTGAATTTCTATTATTTCTGCTTCTGTTTGCCGACCGTCAATCATTGGCCGGCGGCCGTCAATCATTGACGGGAACAAACAGAGAATTGGGGGAAAACTTGCAAAATACACCAAAAGCGGAGCAAAGGTTGCAAAACGGCCCAAAGTCACCCCAGGCTTGCAAAATGAAATGAAATGAAATGAAATGAAATGAAATAGAATAGAATAGAATAGAATAGAATAGAATAGAATGAAATGAAATAAAAATAAAAATAGAATAGAATAGAATAGAATAGAATAGAATGAAATGAAATAAAAATAAAAATAGAATAGAATAGAATAGAATAGAATGAAATGAAATAAAAATAAAAATAGAATAGAATAGAATAGAATAGAATAGAATGAAATGAAATAAAAATAAAAATAAAATAGAATAGAATAGAATAGAATAGAATGAAATGAAATAAAAATAAAAATAGAATAGAATAGAATAGAATAGAATGAAATTAAAAAAAAATAAAAATAGAATAGAATAGAATAGAATATAATGAAATTAAATAAAAATAAAAATAGAATAGAATAGAATAGAATAGAATAGAATGAAATGAAATAAAAATAAAAATAGAATAGAATAGAATAGAATAGAATAGAATGAAATGAAATAAAAATAAAAATAGAATAGAATAGAATAGAATGAAATGAAATAAAAATAAAAATAGAATAGAATAGAATAGAATAAAATAGAATAGAATAAAATAAAATAAAATAAAATAAAATAAATAAAATAAAATAAGTTTTGGGAAGGCTTTGAAATCCCCAGCTTTGAGATCCTCCATGATTATTAATATTATTAATATTATTATTATTAGCTGCCTGAGAGCCACGATTTAGTCCTTTTCAAAAAAGGCTGCCTGGGATTTTAATAGATATTATTATTATTATTATTATTATTAGATGAGCCACGATTTATTCATTTTAAAAAAAGACTGCCTGGGATTTTAATAGATATTATTATTATTATTATTATTATTATTAGATGAGCCACGATTTATTCATTTTTAAAAAAGACTGCCTGGGATTTTAAGAGATCTTATTATTATTATTATTATTATTATTATTATTAGATGAGCCACGATTTAGTCATTTAAAAAAGGCTGCCTGGGATTTTAATAGATATTATTATTATTATTATTATTAGATGAGCCACGATTTATTCATTTTTAAAAAAGACTGCCTGGGATTTTAATAGATATTATTATTATTATTATTATTATTATTATTAGATGAGCCACGATTTAGTCATTTTAAAAAAAGACTGTCTGGGATTTTAATAGATATTATTATTATTATTATTATTATTAGATGACCTGAGAGCCACGATTTAGTCATTTTTAAAAAAGACTGCCTAGGATTTTAATAGATATTATTATTATTATTATTATTAGCTGCCGGAGAGCCAGGATTTAGTCATTTTAAAAAAAGACTGCCTGGGATTTTAATTGATATTACTATTATTATTATTATTATTATTATTATTCGATGACCCGAGAGCCACGATTTAGTCATTTTATAAAAAGACTGCCTGGGATTTTAATAGATATTATTATTATTATTATGTATTATTATTATTATTAGATGACCCGAGAGCCACGATTTAGTCATTTTAAAAAAAGACTGCCTGGGATTTTAATAGATTTATTATTATTATTACTACGGTATTTGTTGGCTCTAGAGCACAATTTACTCATTTAAAATTTTCTATTATTATTATTATTATTATTATTATTATGGTATTTCTTGGCTCTAGAGCACAATTTACTCATTTAAAATTTTCTATTATTATTATTATTATTATTACGGTATTTCTTGGCTCTAGAGCACAATTTACTCATTTAAAATTTTCTATTATTATTATTATTATTATTATTATTATTATGGTATTTGTTGGCTCTAGAGCACAATTTACTCATTTAAAATTTTCTATTATTATTATTATTATTATTATTATTATTAATTATTATTATTTAATTATTATTGTTGTTGTTATTATTATTATTATTATTATTATGATTATTATTAAGAAATGGTTGCAAAGCTCAAAAACCAGTTTTTTTGAATCAAGATGCCTGCAATGGCTTCCTGGCGCCACCAGAGGGCACTTCCGGTTTTGAAGGCACTTCCGGTTTCCGAACCGGAAGGAACCTTCCGCCACTTCCGCTTCCTCTTCTCGTTGGTAGGCCATTGTTGGAGCTTGGAGGATGGTAAGGAATCCGTTATTAAGAAAACTATTATTATTATTAACATGATTAAAGCCCTAGTATTATTGTGATTAAAACTCTTATAATTATTATGATTAAAACTAGTAGTATTATTAAAACTCTAGTATTATCATCATCAAAACTCTGTATTATTATCATTAAAAGTATTATAATTATTATTAAAACTAGTTTTATTATTATTATTATTATTATTATTATTATCCTCAAAACTCTGTATTATTATTATTAAAACTATTATTATTATTATAACTATTATAATTTTTATTATTTTTAAAAATATTTTTTATTATCAAAACTGGTATTATAATTATCAAAACTCATTATTATTATTATTATTAAAACTAGTTTTATTATTATCATCATCATCAAAACTCTATTATTGTTATTATTAAAACTACTACAATTTTTATTATTGTTAAAACTAGTATTATTATTATTATCCTCAAAACTCTGTATTATTATTATTAAAACTATTATTATTATTATTATTATTATTATTATTACTAATTAATAATTCTTATTATTTTTAAAACTATTTTTTATTATCAAAACTAGTATTATAGTTATTAAAACTCATTATTATTATTATTAAAACTAGTATTATTAATATTAAAACTCATTATTATTATTAAAACTAGTATGATTATTATTATTAAAACTCATTATTATTATTATTATTAAAACTAGTATTAAAACTATTATTAAAACTAGTATTATTAATATTAAAGCTCATTATTATTATTATTATTAAAACTAGTATTATTAAAACTCTATTATTAAAACTAGTATTATTAATATTAAAACGCATTATTATTATTATTAAAACTCATTATTATTATTAAAACTAGTATTATTATTAGTATTAAAACTCTATTATTAAAACTAGTATTATTAATATTAAAACTCATTATTATTATTATTAAAACTATTTTTTTATTATTGTTAAAACTCTATTATTATTATTATTATTATTATTATTATTAAAACTATTATTATTAAAACTTTATTATTATTATTATTATTATTATTCTCTCTTTTCTCCCCAACCTGCCAGTCTTCCCACAAGACCTTCCAGATCAAGCGATTTCTGGCCAAAAAAGAGAAGCAGAACCGGCCGATCCCGCAATGGATCCGCATGAAAACTGGAAATAAAATCAGGTCCGCCTGGCTATTAATGGGATTAATAGGAGAATGGGAAGATTAATTGGATGAATTAATGGAAGAGGAAGAGGGATTAATTATCCCCCCGAAATGGATTTTCGAATTTTGAATCCATTGTTGGTTTTAGGCTGTTTTTTTGGTTGCATTAATTCAGTGTTTTAAATCTGAAATGAAATAGAAATGAAATGATGATTTTGATGTTATTTTATTATTTAATTGTTATTATTATCATTACTTATTATATTTATTATTATTATTTTATTGTATTTTATTTTTGTTATTACTAATTTAATTCCTTATTTTATTTTATATTTTATATTTTATATTTTATATTTTTATTTATATTTTTATTTTTATTTTTATTATTACTTATTATATTTATTATTATTATTTTATTGTATTTTATTTTTATTATTACTAATTTAATTCCTTTTTTATTTTATTATTTTATTTTTATTTTTATTACTTATTATATTTATTATTATTATTTTATTGTATTTTATTTTTGTTATTACTAATTTAATTCCATTTTATTTTATTTTTTATTTTTATTTTTATTATTGCTTATTATATTTATTATTATTATTTTATTATATTTTATTTTTATTATTACTAATTTAATTCCTTTTTTATTTTATATTTATATTTATATTTTTATTACTTATTATATTTATTATTATTATTTTATTATATTTTATTTTTATTATTACTAATTTAATTTCTTTTTTATTTTATGTTTTATTTTTATTTTATTATTATTATTATTTTATATTTTATTTTTATTATTACTAATTTAATTCATTTTTTATTTTATTTTTTTATTTTTATTTTTATTTTTATTTTTATAATTATTATTATTATTATTATTATTATTATTTTCCTTCCAGGTACAACTCCAAAAGGAGACACTGGAGGAGGACCAAGCTGGGCCTGTAAAGAGAAGCAGCTCCAAGATTATCTTGTAGAAATATTTGTTAATTACCAAGATTAACGAGTTCAAAACCGAACTTTGGAATGCATCTTTGTTTATTAACAATTATTATTATGATGGTCTAAGTTTAGTCTATGTCTCTTATTATTATTATTATTCTGACCATTATCATCGTTCCAGGATAGACCCTGGCCCCGCCTTCCCTGTCAATCATTCATTGGACCCGCCTTCCCTGTCAATCATTCAGTGGGGGGGACTAGAGGACACTGGGCCCGCCTTCCCTGTCAATCATTCATTGGACCCGCCTTCCCTGTCAATCATTCAGTGGGTGGGACTAGCTGACCCTGGGCCCGCCTTCCCTGTCAATCATTCAGTGGGTGGGACTAGATGACCCTGGACCCGCCTTCCCTGTCAATCATTCTGAGATTCAATGGGTGGGACTAGAGGACCCTGGCTCCGCCTTCCCTGTCAATCATTCCGTGGGGGGGACTAGCTGACCCTGGACCCGCCTTCCCTGTCAATCATTCATTGGACCCGCCTTCCCTGTCAATCATTTAGTGGGTTGGACTAGATGACGCTGGACCCCCCTTCCCTGTCAATCATTCAGATGATCCTGGCTCCGCCTTACTGGTCAATCATTCATTGGACCCGCCTTCCCTGTCAATCATTCACCGGACCCTGGCTCCTCCTCCCCTGTCAATCATTCAGTGGGTGGGACTACACAACCCTGGCCCCGCCTTCCCTGTCAATCATTCATTGGACACACCTTCCCTGTCAATCATTCAGTGAGTGGGACTAGACAACCCTGGCCCCGCCTTTCCTGTCAATCATTCACCGGACCCTGGCTCCTCCTCCCCTGTCAATCATTCAGTGGGTGGGACTACACATCCCTGGCCCTGCCTTCCTTGTCAATCATTCTGGGATTCAGCTAGACCCGCCTTCCCTGTCAATCATTCACTGGACCCTGGTCCCGCCTTCCCTGTCAATCATTCAGTGGGTGGGACTAGCTGACCCTGGCCCCGCCTTCCCTGTCAATCATTCAATGGGTGGGACTAGAGGACCCTAGCTCCGCCTTCCCTGTCAATCATTCAGCGGACCCTGGCCCCGCCTTCCCTGTCAATCATTCAGTGGGTGGGACTAGCTGACCCTGGCCCTGCCTTCCCTGTCAATCATTCAGTGGGTGGGACCCTAGCTCCGCCTTCCCTGTCAATCATTCAGTGGGTGGGACTAGCTGACCCTGGTCCCGCCTTCCCTGTCAATCATTCAGCAGACCCTGGCCCCGCCTTCCCTGTCAATCATTCAGTGGGTGGGACTAGAGGACCCTGGCTCCGCCTTCCCTGTCAATCATTCAGTGGGTGGGACTAGCTGACCCTGGCTCCGCCTTCCCTGTCAATCATTCAGTGGGTGGGACTAGCTGACCCTGGGCCCGCCTTCCCTGTCAATCATTCAGCGGACCCTGGTCCCGCCTTCCCTGTCAATCATTCTGCGATTCAGTGGGCGGGACTAGAGGACCCTGGCTCCGCCTCCCGTGTCAATCATTCAGTGGGTGGGACTAGAGGACCCTGGCTCCGCCTTCCCTGTCAATCATTCAGTGGGTGGGACTAGAGGACCCTGGCTCCGCCTTCCCTGTCCAATCATTCTGTGGGTGGGACTAGAGGACCCTAGCTCCGCCTTCCCTGTCAATCATTCAGTGGGTGGGACTAGAGGACCCTGGCTCCGCCTTCCCTGTCAATCATTCAGCAGACCCTGGCCCCGCCTTCCCTGTAAATCATTCAGTGGGTGGGACTAGCTGACCCTGGCCCCGCCTCCCCTGTCAATCATTCAGTGGGTGGGACTAGCTCACCCTGGCCCCGCCTTCCCTGTCAATCATTCAGTGGGTGGGACTAGCTGACCCTGGCCCCGCCTTCCCTGTCAATCATTCAGTGGGTGGGACTAGCTGACCTTCCCTGTCAATCATTCAGTGGGTGGGACTATCTCACCCTGGCCCCGCCTCCCCTGTCAATCATTCAGTGGGTGGGACTAGAGGACCCTAGCTCCGCCTTCCCTGTCAATCATTCAGCGGACCCTGGCCCCGCCTTCCCTGTCAATCATTCAGTGGGTGGGACTAGCTGACCTTGTCCCCGCCTTCCCTGTCAATCATTCAGTGGGTGGGACTAGAGGACCCTGGCTCCACCTTCCCTGTCAATCATTCAGCGGACCCTGGTCCCGCCTTCCCTGTCAATCATTCCGTGGGTGGGACTAGCTGACCCTGGGCCCGCCTTCCCTGTCAATCATTCAGCGGACCTTGGCCCCGCCTTCCCTGTCAATCATTCAGTGGGTGGGACTAGCTGACCCTGGGCCCGCCTTCCCTGTCAATCATTCAGCGGACCCTGGTCCCGCCTTCCCTGTCAATCATTCTGCGATTCAGTGGGCGGGACTAGAGGACCCTGGCTCCGCCTCCCGTGTCAATCATTCAGTGGGTGGGACTAGAGGACCCTGGCTCCGCCTTCCCTGTCAATCATTCAGTGGGTGGGACTAGAGGACCCTGGCTCCGCCTTCCCTGTCAATCATTCAGTGGGTGGGACTAGAGGACCCTGGCTCCGCCTTCCCTGTCAATCATTCAGTGGGTGGGACTAGCTGACCCTGGCCCCGCCTTCCCTGTCAATCATTCAGTGGGTGGGACTAGCTGACCCTGGCCCCGCCTTCCCTGTCAATCATTCAGCAGACCCTGGCCCCGCCTTCCCTGTCAATCATTCAGTGGGTGGGACTAGCTGACCCTGGCCCCGCCTTCCCTGTCAATCATTCAGTGGGTGGGACTAGCTGACCCTGGTCCCGCCTTCCCTGTCAATCATTCAGTGGGTGGGACTAGAGGACCCTGGCCCCGCCTTCCCTGTCAATCATTCAGTGGGTGGGACTAGCGGACCCTAGCTCCGCCTTCCCTGTCAATCATTCAGCGGACCCTGGTCCCGCCTTCCCTGTCAATCATTCAGTGGGTTGGACCAGCTGACCCTGGCGCCGCCTTCCCGGTCATTCATTCAGTGGGTGGGACTAGCTGACCCTGGCCCCGCCTTCCCTGTCAATCATTCAGTGGACCCTGGTCCCGCCTTCCCTGTCAATCATTCAGTGGGTGGGACTAGCTGACCCTGGCCCCGCCTTCCCTGTCAATCATTCAGTGGGTGGGACTAGCTGACCCTGGCCCCGCCTTCCCTGTCAATCATTCCATCTTTAACCGGCCTAGAACTCCCAGAGGGAACCCTGTGATGTCACAAGCGCCTCTGTGACCTCACAGGGCAGCCCGTGGGCGGGGCTCCCTGGCCCCGCCCCCTTGGGGACGCCCCTCACTCTTCCGCCATGCGGTTCGCCAGGAGGAGGGACGTCCGGGAGCAGATTGACGGCCTTCAGGCCATCATCCACTTGCAAGGTTATTAATCTTATTATTATTAATATTAATAATATTAATATATTACTATTATTATTATTATTATTATTATTATTATTATCATGGGCATCGCAGGGAGAAATCTAGCTCCTCAGGGTCGAGAAAGCTTCTATATAAATTATTACAAATTATTATACATAGAGAAAGCTTATATATAAATTATTAAATTATTATACATTATTATACATAGAGAAAGCTTATATATAAATTATTAAATTATTATAAATTATTATACATAGAGAAAGCTTATATATAAATTATTAAATTATTATACATTATTATACGGTCATTTAATATAAGCTTATAGTAGAAATGGTATTATAATTATTATAATCATAATATTATAGTATATATGGAATAGCATATATATAGATTATTAATTCATTATAAATTATTATCCTGTCATTTAATTATAAGTATTGGAGAAAGGGGGGACGGCGATAATTATTATAATCATAATTTTATAGTATATATAGAAGAGAATAGATAGTTATAATTTATTAGAAATTATTATACGGTCATTTAATGATAGGAATTGGAGAAAGGGGGGACGACGATAATTATTATAATCATAATTTTATAATATAGTATATATAGAATAGAATATATAATTTATTATAAATTATTATACGGTCATTTAATGATAGGAATTGGAGAAAGGATGATAATTATTATAATCATAATTTTATAATATAGTATATATAGAATAGAATATATAGTTATAATTTATTAGAAATTATTATCCTGTCATTTAATGATAGGAATTGGAGAAAGGATGATAATTATTATATATCATAATTTATATAGATATAGTATATATTAGAATAGAATATATAGTTATAATATATTATTATAAATTATTATACTATCATTTAATGATAGGAATATAGAGAAAGGTAGGATGACGATATATAATTATTATAATTATTATATATATACAATATATCATATATTATAATAGATATAAATAGAATATATTAGAATAGAAGATATAAATATAATATATTAGAATAGAATATATAATTATAATATATTAGAATAGAAGATATAAATATAATATATTAGAATAGAATATATAATTATAATATATTAGATAGAAGATATAATTATAATATATTATCATAGAAGATAGAATATATTAGAATAGAATATATAATTATAATATATTATCATAGAAGATATAAATAGAATATATTAGAAAAGAATATGTAATTATAATATATTAGAATAGAATATATAATTATAATATATTAGAATAGAAGATATAATTCTATTCTATTAGCATATTACATATATCTAATAATTATACATAAATATATAAATATATCATATTGAATTATAAATTATAAATGGAATATATTAGAATAGAAGATATAAATATAATATATTAGAATAGAATATATAATTATAATATATTATCATAGAATATATAATTTTGTTCTATTCTATTCTAATAATTATAAATAATTATAAATATAAATTGAATAATCAATTACGAATTGGAGAACGAGGGGACTACTAGGACGATAATAATACCAATAATAATATATATGATTATAATAGAATAGAATATAAAATTATATTCTAATAGAATAGATAAATAGAATATATTAGAAAAGAATATGTAATTATAATATATTTGAATAGAATATATAATTATATATTAGAATAGAAGATATAATTCTATTCTATTCTATTCTAATAATTATACATAATTATAATTATCAATTGAATTATAAATTATAAATGGAATATATTAGAATAGAAGATATAAATATAATATATTAGAATAGAATATATAATTATAATATATTATCATAGAATATATACTTTTGTTCTATTCTATTCTCTTAATTATACATAATTTTTTTTTTCATTTGAGTTATTTTTTTTACATGGGAGAACGAGGGGACTACTAGGACGATAACAATACCAATAATAATATATATGATTATGATATATTAAAATAAAATATATAATTATAATATATTATAGTACAAAATAAGATTATAATATAGTATAATAGCATATATATATATATATATATAATATTAGAATAGAATATATAATTATAATATATTATAGTACAATATACGATTATAATATAGTATAATAGCATATATATAAATATATAAATAATATTAGAATAGAATATATAATTATAATATATTATAGTACAATATACGATTATAATATAGTATAATAGCATATATATATATAATATTAGAATAGAATATATAATTATTATACATTATCATAGAATATATTACAATAGAAAATATTTTTGTAATATATGATAATAGAAGATCTAATTAGAATATATCATAGAAGATATATTATAACAGAAGCTATAATTCTCTTCGAAAAATGATCATTCTAATTATAAATGGAATTCTAAATTACGAATTGGAGAAAGAGGAAACTACTATGATAATAATAATAATAGTAATAATAATAATAATAATAATAATAAAATAAATAATAATAATAATAATAAAAGAATAAGAATAAGAATAAGAATATAATAATAATAATAATAATGTAATAATAATAAAATAATAAGAATAAGAATATAATAATAGTAATGTAATAATAATAATAAAATAAAATAATAATAATAAAATAAAAATAATAATATAATAATTAATAATAATAATACCAATAATAATGATACCAATAATAATAAAAATAAAATAATAATAATAAAAAAATAATAATAATAATATAAGAAGGAGAAGAAGAAGAAGATAATAATAATAATCTAATAATAATAAAATAATAATAATAAAATAATAATGTAATAATAAAAATAAAATAATAATAATATAATTATTAATAATAATAATTATTAATAATAATACCAATAATAATGATACCAATAATGATAATAATAATAAAATAATAATAATAAAATAAAAATAATAAAATAATAATAATAAAATAAAAATAATTATAAAATAATAAGAATATAATAATAAGAATATAATAATAAGAATATAAGAATATAATAATAATAATAATAATAATAATAATAATAATAATAATAATCATAATAATAATACAATAATAATGATAACAATAATGATATAATAATAATAATAAATAATAAAATAAAAAGTAATAATAAAATAATAATGAAATAAAAGTAATAATAAAATAATAAGAATAAAATAATATAATAATAATAATAATAATAATATAATAATACAGTAATATTAATAAAATAATAATACAAATACTACTACTACTACTAATAATAATAATTTCAGAGCAGGGGAAGAAATTGTTCGCCCAATCGGCGGAGGAGACCGTCGCCAAGAACAGATATCTCCTTGGTTACCTCCGCGGAGATGTCCGTCAAGGGACCCACGAGCTGGACCTGTCCGTCAAGGTACGGGCAGGGCGAGGCGGGGCCTCCCAGAGCCCGCCTCTTCCTTTCGCCCTTCTAGGAATCGGTCTCTATGCTTCCTGGAGGACCTTCTATATTTCAGGGTCAGGCTGGATGACCGCCGGGTGTCCCGCCCCCTTGAAGGCTGGGCTGTCCGTCATTGGTGGGTTTGGGGGGATGATTGGCGGGTTGATTGACAGGAGGAGGGAGGGAGGGGGGAAGGAATCAAGGAAGGAAGGAAAGAAAGAAGGAAGGAAGGAAGGAAGGAAGGAATTAAGGAAAGAAGGAAGGAAGGAAGGAAGGAAGGAAGGAAATAGAATTAAGGAAGGAAGGAAGGAAGGAAGGAAGGAGAATTAAGGAAGGAAGGCAGGAATGAAGGAAGGAAGGAAAGAGAATTAAGGAAGGAAGGAAGGAAGGAAATAGAATTAAGGAAGGAAGGAAGGAAGGAAGGAAGGAGAATTAAGGAAGGAAGGCAGGAATGAAGGAAGGAAGGAAATAGAATTAAGGAAGGAAGGAAGGAAGGAAGGAGAATTAAGGAAGGAAGGAAGGAAGGAAGGAAGGAAATAGAATTAAGGAAGGAAGGAAGGAAGGAAGGAAGGAAAGAGAATTAAGGAAGGAAGGAAGGAAGGAAGGAGAATTAAGGAAGGAAGGCAGGAAGGAAGGAAGGAAGGAAATAGAATTAAGGAAGGAAGGAAGGAAGGAAGGGTGAAGGAAGGAAGGAATGAATGAAGGAAAGCAATAAAGAATGAAGGATGGAAAGAAGGAAGGAAGGAAGGAAAGAAAGAAAAAGAAAGGAAGGAAGGAAGGAAGGAAGGAAGGAAAGAGAATTAAGGAAGGAAGGAAGGAAGGAAATAGAATTAAGGAAGGAAGGAAGGAAGGAATAGAAATAAGGAAGGAAGGAAGGAAGGAAGGAAGGAAGGAAAGAATTAAGGAAGGAAGGAAGGAAGGAAGGAAGGAAGGAAGGAAGGAAAGAAAGAAGGAATAAAGGAAGGAAGGAAGGAAGGAAGGAAGGAAAGAAAGAAAAAGAAAGAAAGAACTAAGGATGAAAATAGGAAGGGAGGGAGGGAGGAAGGAGGGAGGGAGGAAGGAAGGAAGGAAGGAAGGAAGGAAGGAAGGAAGGAAGGAAGGAAGGAAGGAATGAATGAAGGAAAGCAATAAAGAATGAAGGATGGAAAGAAGGAAGGAAGGAAGGAAAGAAAGAAAAAGAAAGGAAGGAAGAACTAAGGATGAAAATAGGAAGGAAGGAAGGAAGGAAGGAAGGAGAATTAAGGAAGGAAGGAAGGAAGGAAATAGAATTAAGGAAGGAAGGAAGGAAGGAAGGGTGAAGGAAGGAGGGAATGAATGAAGGAAAGCAATAAAGAATGAAGGATGGAAAGAAGGAAGGAAGGAAGGAAAGAAAGAAGGAATAAAGGAAGGAAGGAAGGAATTAAGGAAGGAAGGAAGGAAGGAAGGAATTAAGGAAGGAAGGAAAGAAAGAAAAAGAAAGAAAGAACTAAGGATGAAAATAGGAAGGAAGGGAGGGAGGGAGGAAGGAGGGAGGGAGGAAGGAAGGAAGGAAAGAAGGAAGGAAAGAAAGAAGGAAGGAAGGAAGGAAGGAAGGAATTAAGGAAGGAAGGAAGAAAGGAAGGAAGGAAAGAAAGAAAGAAAGAAAGAAAGAAAGAAAAAGGAAAGGAAGGAAGAAAGGAGAAAGGGAGGAGGGAGGGAGGAAGGAAAGAAGGAAGGAAAGAAGGAAGGAAGGAAAGAAGGAAGGAAGACAGGAAAGAAAGAAGGAGAAAAGGAATTGAAGGAAGGAAGGAAAGAGAATTAAGGAAGGAAAGGAAGGAAGGAAGGAAGGAAGGGAAGGAAGGAGGGAGGAAGAAGGAAAGGGAGAAGGAAGGAAGAAGGAAGGAAGGAAGGAGGGAAGAAAGGAAGGAAGGAAGGAAGGAAGGAAGGAAAGAAAGAAAGAAAGAAAGAAAGGAAGGAAGAAGGGAGAAAGGGAAGGAGGGAAGGAAGGAAGGAAGGAAGGAAA